GGGACTTAGAGTGCAATTTAATTGAGAAAGGGGCTGTGACGTTATATGACCTCAAGTCATTAGAAATAAAAATGAGATTCGGAAACTCACTGCATGACTAAACAATGGATTGACAAAACTGGACCGTCGTCATAGAATTTTTAAATTCGTACCAGAACGTAATGAAGTTTATTGTCATTTCTTGTAAAGCTTTTGGGGCGGAGATTAGGGGTAAAGACATCTAAAAGCTCTGATGTATTTGGACGTTATAAGCAACATTATGCCCTTCCCAAATAAACAAAGCTTCCAATGTCGAGCACTCACATTTTCATTTGCGGGAAGTCCCAATAATCTATCTGAATACACTTCTAAGGTCCTGTTTGGGATTGCTTGAGATAAATTGGTGGCTGTTGCAAAAGTTTCTAGTTAATATTGTACAGTGAGTGTTTGCAGGCACTATTTCGTGGTACGTTAAGCTTCTTTTTTACAATTATGCTCTTCACATTATAATGTTTTTTAGCACTGTTAAAATATAGCTTCAGCCTGTGTGAATTAACTTTTGGTGTGATTTAACCAATATGACCATGAAAACTTTTTCCAGAATATGATGCCCATTGAGAGGGTCTTCCAATGTGTGAGTTATGGGGGAGAGTGGTTCAACATCTTAAGCTCTTTTTTGTACATCAAGACTACATTAGAGCTCCCAAAAAACAAGGCGTTAATGTTCCCCACATTTTTCATTTGTGGAAGGCTGAAATCTAATGAACACTTCCTTCTAGGAATAATCGTTTTGGGGGACGTTGAGCAGAACTTGGGCTGTGCATAATGTTTTCAGTGTCATTTTGTGATTAAAGATTTAAGACAGTTTATTACCAACGTTAAGCTCTTTTTACATTATAAGCTCTTACACATTAAATGGTTTTAGCACTGTAAGAAAAATATAGCTTAATAGTGAATATCTTTTAGGTTGTGTCTTTGTACCAAAATGATTCGTGATATTGTTCAGATAATAGGTTGCACCCATTTATAAGGGTTCTTCTAAGTGTGTGATAGTAGTGGGTGGGGATTGAATATTGGGTGCTCTAACATCTAAGGCTCCTTTGTATTGAGTGTACATTAAGCTACATTAAGCCATCCCAAAAAACAAGGTGCTTAATGTCCCCCCATTTTCTTTGTGGAAGGCAGAGAAATCTATGAAAACTTCTAGGACCTGTTTGGGACATTGAGACAACAAAAAAAAAACTTGGGCTGTGCAAAGTTTCAAGTCAGATTGATTGAGGTTTAGGCACATTATTGGTTACGTTAAGCTCTTTTTTACATTAAGTATTCACATTACAATGTTTTAGCCACTGTAAAATATAGATCGCTTAATTGTGAATTAACTTTTGGTATGATTTACACAAATTGAACCTGAAATTTCAGAATATGTTGCCATAAGATAGAGGGTCTTCTATTGTGTGAAGTTTTGGGGAGATTGGGTCATACAATCTTAAGACTTTTTTTGTACCCCGTTAAGCTTACATTAAGCTCCCCAAAAAACAAGCTTAATGTCCCCCACCAAGTTTTTTCTTTGTGGAAGGCTGAAATCTATGAAACTTCTAGTACATGTTTGGGACGTTGAGAAACTTTGGGCTGTGCAAAGTTTCAAGTCAATTGATTAAGATTTAGGAACAGTTTATTGCACGTTAAGCTACAGTTATAGCCATTTTCACATTAAATGTTTTTAGTCTGTCCCGTACATGCAGTATGTGGCAATGTGTTCTGCAGAGCAGGACGGGCAACTTCCCATCTGCCTACTGGAACTAAACAGAGTTGGGCCAAATGCGTCTCCAACCATTCTGGAGAAGCCTGTTGTATTTATAAGTAATAAACACAAGGTCTCCTCTTATTGGCCAAGGTGGAGAATGTGCAGATACATCGCTGATGCAGAACCATCATAGTTCACTGGACACTTTCTGCAGCTCCACACTTCAATATGGGAAGAGAACTTCCAGAAGTGTATGCAGGAGCCTGACATTGCATGCTTTGCAGGCTCCAGTGTGTAAAAAAATACAATGCACATTTTTTACTTGAAAATGATATATATTTATATATATATATATATATATATATATATATATATATATATTTTTTTTTTTTTAACTAAAGGTGAAAAGGTGAACCTTTCCTTTAAAACCACTTGAATAGTGAAAAGGCTGTGTGTGAACCATAAAGCGCCAGTTTTGACATGAGTTGGTAAAGGGTTGACTTAACTTTTATTTTAACTAGATTGATAACTTTGGTGAAAAAAGTGCAAAATATGCAATTAAAGCATTATATATGTGTATTAAGCCCACAAACAACCAAAACAATAAACAAAAAAACCCCACCAGCAACCCCAATTTGAAGTCACACTCTCCACACACTAATTAATGTGTCACAAAATCTAAAATAAATGTATAGTGCAGCACCTCCCTACTACTAATCCTAAGCATCTCCTGCAAACCTCATCACAAACATAAGTGTTTACCAAAAACATCAATATTAAGAAAAGTCCCATATACAATAGGATATTTCTTGATGCTCCTCCACTCTTTCACCACTTCACATCCTATAAATCATAAACCAATGTTCCTCCACCAACACTCTCACCTGGAGCTTTTTGACCTCACATTTTATAAATGTTTTGGTCCATAAAATCGCTTGTGTCCTAATGGGACTGATGGAATGAAGATTCCCCAGGTGGTTCTTTCTCCTTCTCCCGCAGCAAACTTTGATGTTTATATCTCCTCCTCTCCTCCTCTTTCAAATGCTCCATTAAAAAATGGAAATAGGCAGAAATAGTGCTTTATCCTTTATAACACTTTATTATAAAATTAATAACAATACCACTCACAAATTGCTGGTGCTAGTTTCTCGCACTAGATGTAAACAGCATAACAACAATGACACTCTCCTTCCATATCCTTCCTCTGATCTCGCATTGCGTTGTGACGTCAGCTAAAACCCCCCCCCCCCCCCCCCGTACATGTTACGCCACAGATCACATGGCTTCCTCAGGGGAATATGTTGCTGCGTCACTCTGCACTAGTCATATTCCTGTAGATCACTTTACTCTTTTGTGTCATACAGTATATATATGCTGATACCTCCCTAAAATACTTGCTATTTCCTTTTTAAACCATGCAAAATAAATAAAAATGTTCTTTACAATTCTCATTACTAAGACTTTTTCATACTACAAAAAATTCATGTATGAAGATCCATTTAAAAAGTATTAATGAAATCAGTCAATTAATTAAAAATGACTTAAAAAACACATTAAGTCAAATTTAAACCTTTAGGTACAAAGGATCCTAATTCATATATACACCAGGACTCTTTTGCTCAATTCCCTAATCCTATTGTCCCCCCTCCAATGTCTTTTTTTATATTTCTATTCCCCAAATTGTAAATTTTTTAAATTCTTATGTTTAATTCTAAGTGGTTAAACAAATAATTTTTTTATACCCTATACTAATATTATAAACACACTCTTATATGATCTTTTAATGCCCTTTTTGTTCTCCCCACATAAAAATATCCACAGGGGCATGTCAACATATAAATTACTCGTTTAGCATGATACAATATAAAATTATTAATAGCATATTTTTTTCCTGTAGAAGGGTTTGTAAAGGATTTCTGTCTTTTTATATTATCTGTTCTTACACAACTATAGCAATTCCCACAGACAAAAAAAAAAACCCCTTAGCTGCAAAAACTTTAAATTCCCTTCTTTAGGTGGGCAGTAGAGATGAGCGAATTATTCAAAAATTTGATTTGGCTGATCCGGCGAATTCGTGGAATAAATTCGATTCGAGTCAAATATATTCGCTGCGAATTTAACTTATAAAAAAGGGTGTTTCTAGGCTTCAGAGAGCCTTTATATTAGTGCAGAACACTGTACCTTTAATTAAATGCCCTTGGAGTCTTGCTGGGGAAGAGAAATAATACTGTCAGTCAGTATGACATGCAGATGAGTGCCGTCGATCTTAGAATCACCGCACACTTCACTCATTTGGGCAGTCACAGGGCCAAAACCCAGAATGTGGAGCCACAGTGTGGCGGTGGAGGCAGCAGCAATGGGAGGCCATACAGCACCCCTATGACAAAATGGAACCCACCAGCATGAGGAGACCTGAAAGTGGCACATGGCAGAGTGTGGCGATGGAGACAGCAGCAATGGGAGGCCGTACAGGGACCCATGACACACTCTGGACCTGGCAGCAGCATGAGGAGGCGGTACAGGGGGCCCATGACAGATTACGGGCCTGGCAGCAGCATGAGGAGGCGGTACGGGGGCCCATGGCAGATTAGGGGCCTGGCAGCAGCAATGGGAGGCCATACAGCACCCTATGACACAAAATGGAACCCCCAGCAGTGTGAGGAGACCTGAAAGTGGCACATGGCAGAGAGTGTGGCGATGGAGACAGCAGCAATGGGAGGCCGTACAGGGACCCATGACACACTCTGGACCTGGCAGCAGCATGAGGAGGCGACGCGGTACAGGGGCCCATGGACAGATTACGGGCCTGGCAGCAGCATGAGGAGTCGGTACGGGGGCCCATGGCAGATTACGGGCCTGGCAGCAGCAATGGGAGTCCCCGTAATCTGCCAGCACCCTATGACAAAATGGAACCCACCAGCAGTGTGAGGAGACCTGAAAGTGGCACATGGCAGAGTGTGGCGATGGAGACAGCAGCAATGGGAGGCCGTACAGGGACCCATGACACACTCTGGGACCTGGCAGCAGCAGAGGAGAGGTACAGGGGCCCATGGACAGATTACGGGCCTGGCAGCAGCATGAGGAGGCGGTACGGGGGGCCTTACATGGCAGATTAGGGGCCTGGCAGCAGCAATGGGAGCCCGTAATCTGCCAGCACCCTATGACAAAATGGAACCCACCAGCAGTGTGAGGAGACCTGAAAGTGGCACATGGCAGAGTGTGGCGATGGAGACAGCAGCAATGGGAGGCCGTACAGGGACCCATGACACACTCTGGACCTGGCAGCAGCATGAGGAGGCGGTACAGGGGCCCCATGACAGATTACGGGCCTGGCAGCAGCATGAGGAGGAGTCGGTACGGGGGCCCATGGCAGATTAGGGGCCTGGCAGCAGCAATGGGAGGCCATACAGCACCCTATGACAAAATGGAACCCACCAGCAGTGTGAGGAGACCTGAAAGTGGCACATGGCAGAGTGTGGCGATGGAGACAGCAGCAATGGGAGGCCGTACAGGGACCCATGACACACTCTGGACCTGGCAGCAGCATGAGGAGGGCGGTACAGGGGCCCATGACAGATTACGGGCCTGGCAGCAGCATGAGGAGTCGGTACGGGGCCCATGGCAGATTACGGGCCTGGCAGCAGCAATGGGAGGCCCGTAATCTGCCAGCACCCTATGACAAAAAATGGAACCCACCAGCAGTGTGAGGAGACCTGAAAGTGGCACATGGCAGAGTGTGGCGATGGAGACAGCAGCAATGGGAGGCCGTACAGGGACTCCATGACACACTCTGGACCTGGCAGCAGCAGCATGACCTGGAGGCGGTACAGGGCCCATGAGGACAGATTACGGGCCTGGCAGCAGCTATGAGGAGGCGGTACGGGGGCCCATGGCAGATTAGGGGGGCCTGGCAGCAGCAATCTGGCCATACCGCACCCTATGACAAAATGGAACCCACCAGCAGTGTGAGGAGACCTGAAAGTGGCACATGGCAGAGTGTGGCGATGGAGGCAGCAGCAATGGGAGGCGTACAGGGACCCATGACACACTTGGACCTGGCAGCAGCATGAGGAGGCGGGTACAGGGGCCCATGACAGATTACGGGCCTGGCAGCAGCATGAGGAGGCCCGGGGCCCATGGCAGATTACGGTTGGGCCTACACACAGCAATGTGAGGAAGACCGTAAGTGCCAGCACCTATGACAAAATGGACCCCCCCAGCAGTGTGGAGACTAAGTGGCAATGGCATTACAGGGCATGAGCTCAATGGGCACTCAGCAGCAATCTGAGGGAGCGTCCACCACAGGGGCCATGACACATTCCCACCTGGCAAGCAGCATGGGGGAGGCGGTCCATTTAGCCCCTATTACAGTCGCTTTCTTTCCCATCCTGCAGTGTTGGGTGGCCTTTGTGGCGTTTGAGAAACATGGAGATGCAGCAATTCCCTATCAGACCCATACATCCCACCCTAAAATTGAGGGATTCCCCCCCATCAGCTATATCTTCTCCCACATGGCCTATTCTCCCCATGGGGGGCAGCAGCTATGGGAGGCCGTAATTGCCAGCACCCTCCTGAAAAATGGAACCCCAGTGTGAGGAGACCTGAAAGTGGCCATGGCATCGGAGTGTGGCGATGGAGACAGCAGCCAAGAAATGGGAGGCGTACAGGGACCCATGACCTTCTCTCCCTTTCCCTACCCCCCCACATCCCCCCCCCCCTCCCCCTCTATATCTTCTCCCCATCCCTATTCCCATTCAGCTCTATATTTCATACTCCCTGGAAATTAGGGGGAAGCCCTTTCCCCAAGGCCCATTCACTGGCATCTTCATTGGAACTTTTTTCCCATTCTCAATGGATTCCTCCTCCCACACATGGAACCCTGGACCTGGCAGCAGCGTGAGAGGGCGGTAAGGGGCACATGGCAGATGTAGGGGTGGCAGCAGCAATGGGAGGCCAATCTGCCCAGCCCTATGTCAAAAAAAAATGGAACCACACCAGCAGTGTGAGGAGACCTGAAAGTGGCACATGGCAGAGTGTGGCGATGGAGGCAGCAGCAATGGGAGGCCGTACAGGGGGACCCATGGACTACACTCTGTGGACCTGGGCAGCAGCGATGAGGAGGCGGTACAGGGGCCCATGGCAGATTACGGGCCTGGCCAGGCAGCAGCAATGGGAGGCCCGTAATCTGCCAGCACCTATCAACAAAAAATGGAACCCACCAGCAGTGTGAGGAGACCTGAAAGTGGCACATGGCAGAGTGTGGCGGATGGAGACTGGAGCAAGTGCACCCTATACAGGGATCTTAATTTACACTGCTCCGGCAGCAAGGCCGGTACATGGCCAGGGCCCCGGCCAGCAGGAGGTGTACATCAGCGCAATGCAGACTACCGTAATACTGCCAGAAGCAGTCTGAAAAAGAGTGGAAACCAGCAAGAACAACAGTGTGAGGAGAGCTGAAATGGCACATGGCAGATTTAGTGCTGGCGATGGAGACAGCAGCAATGGGAGGTGTACAGGGACCATGAGACACTCTGGTGGCAGAGCATGAGGGGCTGGGGCCATGGGCTATCAGGTAGCGAAATAGGTAATCCTGCCAACACTAAAAAAAAACCTACCCCACCAGCAGTGTGAGGAGAGCCTGAAAAGTGGCACATGGCAGAGTGTGGCGGGGAGACAGCAGCAATGGGAGGCCGTACAAGTCTGGACCCATGGACACACTCTGGACAGATGTGGGAGCAGCAAATGAGGAGGTGGCGGTACAGGGACCCTAGACAAATTGACCTGGCTAAGGTGAGGAGGCGGTACAGGGGGCCCATGGCAGATTAGGGCCTGGCAGCAGCAATGGGAGGCCCGTAATCTGCCAGCACCCTATGACAAAAATGGAACACACCAGCAGTGTGAGGAGACTGAAAGTGGCACATGGCAGAGTGTGGCGATGCTAGCACATTGGAAAAGCAATGGGAGACAGACGCGTACAGGGACCCATGGAGCCCAGCAGGAACACATGGGAGGACCGTACAGGGATACCCATGAGCTCTGGACCTGGCAGGCAGCATGAGGAGGCGGTACAGGGGGCCCATGGCAGAATTACAGGGCCTGGCAGCAGCAATGGGAGGCCCGTAATCTGCCAGCACCCTATGACAAAAATGGAACACACCAGCAGTGTGTGAGGAGACCTGAAAGTGGCACATGGCAGAGTGTGGGCGATGGAGACAGCAGCAATGGGAGGCCGTACAGGGACCCATGAGACACTCTGGAACTGGCAGCAGCATGAGGAGGCGGTACAGGGGCCATGGCAGATTATGGGGCCTGGCAGCAGCATGGGAGATGCCCGTAATTGCCAGCACCTATGACAAAAATGGAACCACAGCCAGCAGTGTGAGGAGACCTGAAAGTGGCACATGTTTGGGGCATGATTCATGGCGGATTTAGTCAGTTGTGTCAGGAACTGGTGGTTTGAAATCCAGACTAATCCACGCCTGATTCATTTTCACAAACGTGAGTCTCTCCACACTTTGGGTGGACAGTCGTGTCCTCCGCGGAGTTACAATACTCCTGCCGCACTAAACACGCGCTCCGATGCCACGCTACTGGCGGGCATGACAGCCTTTCAAGGGCAAATTCAGCTAGTTGGGGCCAAAGGTCAAGTTTCGTTGCCCAGTAGTCAAGGGGATTGTCTACCTCGGTTGGCAGGGTGCTGTCCAAGTAGGCCCAAGCCTGTTGTTTGAGGTCCTGCTCCAGGTCCACCTGATGCTGCTGCTGTGCTGCGGCTGGTTAGTAGTTTCCTCACTGCGCTGGTGAAGAAAGCTACTCATCATCGACTGCAGACTGAGGCAGCCGCTGCTGGTGGAGCTGCCACTGCTCCTACCACTCCCCCCACCCCTCCCCTGCTGCCATGGCAGCGGAACGCGAGCGCACAGGGCCCACAGTGTCTGAGGATGGACGTTGGCGCAGAAAGGCAGAGACCAACTGACTACATAGGTGGTTTTTTATAGTACGGTGGTATTTTATTTTGGCCTCCTCTCAGCAGGTGTGAAAAAGGCCACCATTTTTGAACGGTAGCGAGGGTCCAACAAGGTGGACAGCCAACCAAAAGTCATCCCTCTGTCTGATGGTTATTATTCGGCTGTCGCTACGCAAGCAACCGAGCATGCTATGGGCCATTTGTGCCAAGGAATGCGAGGGACTCCCTGCCTCCATCTCCACAGCATACTGCCACGGTGCGTCTGGGTCCTCTGTCTCCTCCTCTCCTCCTCTACCAGATGCTCCTGCTCCTCCACTCCTGTCCGCTGAGTGGAAAAACCACCCATTTCACTCAATAATTCCTGAGCACCAATGTCCTCCTCTACCTCCTCCTCTTCTTCCTGTCTGCCCCCACAGGGGTCATGTGGCGTTGAGATCTGTGCGCCACGTCTACCGCACCCTGACCAGCCATTGTTAACAGCATTTGTTCCAGGACGTGCAAACAGAGGAATGACGTCGTTCATCCATAGTCCTGCCGACTCACGAATAGCGTGGCCTCCTCAAAGGGCTGAGCAAGCGGCAGGTGTCACGCATGAGCTGCCAATGGCTGACATCGAAGTTACACAGGGGGAGTACCTTTATCCGCTTGTAACATCAGGAAAATCGGTGATGGCCTTTCGCTGTTCGTAAAGCGGCGGTCTAACATGTGTAGGGTTTGAATTCCACCTTGTTGCAACGTCGCAGATCAGGTGAATGCTGTGGATAATTCCGTTCTGCCGCTGCAGCTCAAGGAGGGTTGTGCTTTGCTCGGTGTAGGAATGGCTGAAAATGATGCAAAGTTTACGTGACATTTTGAAGGATGTCTTGCAGTGCGGGATGGTGGGTTTTTTCTTTACCCCAGAAGTTCTCCCTGTGTGACACTTCCCAAGGCCCCCCAGGGCAGCAAGCGTGACCCCGTTCCCCAATGCACATGTGATTTCCCGGTCGGGTAATGGATTTGGAGGGGGGGGGGGTGGCGGTGAGGACCGGCGGAAAGAAGAGGTGGTAGAGGGGAATCTTTGCCGGCCAAAGGCGGCAAAGTGGAGGAAAAAAGGGGGCGTGACCGTCCAGTTGCTGGTGCGGCTGTGACGGCAACGTTCCCCCAGGGGGCCCGAAAATGACATTGACGTCCTGCCGTGTTAAGCTCACACTCGGCGTTTTCCGTGCACTTTGGCAGGGGGCCCACATGTCAAAGCTGGCCCACCATTTTTTCAGTAAATGAGGGGGCACTTTTTTTTGGCAAAAGAAATGACGGCTTGGCACTCCCCACCGGGGGGGGCACAAGCCACATTTTCGGAAAGGTGCTGAGTCCCCTTGGGAAAAAGGGAGGGACTGCAGCACGAAAGGACAGGAGGCGTTAGTTTTCACCGTGGGGTGCGTGCTCGAAACTGTTTTTTCCTGGAAAAGGATTCCAAAAAAGATGCTGGGGGAATCGTGAAGAGGAGTAGAAGGGAAGGGCATCAAAAGAGGGAAGATAAAAGGGGCGACAATCCCCTCAGCAGAGGGTTGGAGTTGACTGGCGATAGAGGGGATTGACGTCGGGTGACGGGCAAGTAAGGAGCGGGGGTGGGGGCGGGGGTGGGGGGGCAGAAAGCCGTATCTTTATCAGGTTTTCCCCGGCCCCCAAATGGCGAGTGCATATGCTGCCAACGCTGTAGCCAACAGGGCCCTGGGGACGCTTGATTTTGGCCCATAGTCAAAAAACGGACGTTTACTTCCCCGGGCGGCTTGACAAAAAAATTTCCCCACCCCGCGGGGAGGAAATTTGCCCCCCTACTCCTCATTTGGTGATGTGCTTTCCTCCGTGCACCCCGGCACCATATGGGTGGTGGTAGGTGCAGTGGAGCTGGTGCTTATCCCCGTGGGCCGTTTGCCTCCCTGACCTGCTGCGCCCCCGTGCCTTGGGAACCCCCCCACTGTTTTGCTCGTGCCAAGTGCACCCCTTTTTCCTGATGATGCGGGGAAACAATGCCCGATGCGAGAGGTGCAAGTGCGTCAGCTCATCATCCTCAATTAGGGTTCCGCCTCATACAGCCCCCCCGGTGGTGGGGGTAGGAGACGCCTGTCT